TTGTCTTCTGTATTTCAGTGTCAGTTATTGTGCCTGCAGAACTGAAGAAATCTGAAGGAATATTACATCTGAACATTGACACCAACGACATTGAGCTCTCTTGATTCTTAAATGCAGGTCCAATATATTAATCTTATAAATAACCTCAGAATTGGTTCAAAGTTCATCAAAATCCACCAACTGAGAGATGAAATATGGCCACCTCTTCTTCAAACACTCTCTACTGTTTACTTCATGATCCTACAACCAGTGCTGGACTGGTCATCATGCCCGATGGTGATTTTGGGCTGGGCCTTTTTTTTTTTTTTTACTAATGGTACTAATATTAGTATTTATATTAGTCATGATTCCTATTGGTACACAAAACTGGTAGATCGGCCCATTAGTCATGATTTATTCTAGGCTGGACCAATTACAGCCGAGGGCCGATGCCTCCTCCCTCTTGGGCCTCGGCAGTCAATCAGTCAATCATACAGAGAGAGAGGAGATCACGAAAATGGAGAACAGCAAGATGCAGAAAAAAATTGAGCTAAAAAGCTGCTGGTGCGAGTGGAGGGGAATCTGATAGAATTTTGACTGAATCAAATTAGGATTTGCCAGAAGATGTGATGCTGCTCATTAACATAAAAGTCAGTCCTTCAAGAAAAATGCAAAAAATATTTTTTGTGATTGTTGCGGGCAAAAATCCTTGATTATGCCGCACGTTTTCTTACAAAATGCGATGGAATATGCGGGATATTTATGCAATTTAATGCAATGAAATTGCGGGAACTTGCAAAAACTGCGGTTTGACAAAAAAGAGAAAAAAAAAAGGGATTCCCCCAACACCCTGTTCTCATTAGGCTACTACCTTAATGTAAAGAGTCATTTCTTATTACTTCCTATGATAAGCAAACATACTACATCACAGAAAGTGCTGGGAAGATTTAAGTTCTCCTCTTGTTTTATTTCAGACCTTAATAAACACATGGCTCAAACTTACACAACATGGATGAGTCAAACAAGTTCTGTAGCTTTACAAAAGGAATATGCTACAACTTCTGTAAAAATGAATAAATAAAAGGGCTTCATCACGGCTTCATCGCGGGGTTTGCAGCTTTTCCATGATGTTCACGTCGCGTCATTACGTCACTTCATAACGTTCCCATGGCAACAGGGGAAAACGGCTGCTCTTGAGTGACGTAAACGCAACATTTTTCAACTTTCTGCTAAAATATATCTGACTTTTTTGCAACGAAAATGCGGGGATTATGAAATCATGATCATCATGCGACCCATATACGCAGCGGCGTACAAGCATTGTCACAAGAACCTTTGTTTTCATTCATAGGCTTCATTGTCTTTCCATCAATACCTGGTGGGCCAGTCTCGGCTCAAAATGCCCGGGCCCATTTTTTGTCCCAGTCCAGCCCTGTCTACAACTAAAGATAAAGATTATTTTTTATTTACAATGATTGTCACTATGATAAGTTTCATTCAAACCCATCGATCTGTTACATAAACTGAACTTCCTGGATCGTATTAAGTCTCCCTCCCTCCCTGTCACTTGTTTTATGAAATAGGACATATAATAGGACTCAACAATAGACACAAATGATTGAATAAGATGGAGACTTTTTGCAGTGGAGATGAAAATATGGCATTAATGCTGCTGTAAGTTACAATCAGACCCAGTTTGTATGTAAAATCACACATTACCTAATAATGAGGGGTGGAGAGGTCTCTGTGTGTGTGTGGGTGTGTGTGCTGTTTGGAGGAGGGACTCCATCATTTAGAGAAGTGAGGAGTTCCTGGTTTGTCAGTGAAGACGGAAGAGAGGCAGCGATAAACCATCAGAGCCTCCAACATGAAAGTCTATCACATTTTGATCTGCTTCTTCTTCCTCTGTGAGTACACTCTCCTTCTCTATCACTCTGTCTTCCTGCTGTATTGATCTTTATTGATTTATTATTGATTTATTTAAACTTCATTTTAATCTTGTGGGAAACTGTTTCTCATGAGTGAACTCTTGAGAAACGGTTGTTTGTTTCTGTGGTCAGACATGACAGCTTACTTAATACTTAGACAAGTACCATGTAGACAAAGTTTCCCAGAAGTATTTTATTTATTCTTTTTTTTTTAACTTACTTTATTTATTTTTGTTCTGCTGTACCTGTTTTATACGTAACAAAATGCATTGCAGATGTAGTCTGACTGAGTGTTTTGTAACACAGGAAGCTACTTATCTAAACCTGTTCAAAGTTCATAGAAAGGACTGAAGTTGTGAATGGGGCGACGAGAACAAAGAGATGCATTCAGTTCTAGTTTTCTATATATTTATTCATATTAACTGTGATATATGTTTGAGATGCTACTCAGTGATTGTCTGTGTTGCTTAAAACATGTGTGACTCCACCCCTATACCTTTGTTTAAATCTTTATTAAAACTTTATCAAAGGAAATTTATTATTTAAAAGATTTTGCAAACAAAATACATTTAAGAAAAGACACATTACAGAGGAGTAGAGAAGCCCACAAGTTACAGCATTTGCAAAACTGAATCATACACTGAAATTCATTTAGCTTCCATGGGCAGTTTGAACATAGATTGAACACACAGTTGCACATCTGACAGTCGAACTGTGTTGAAGTGGGCAGTGTGACTCTGTGTCTCACAGAAAGATAGTAACTGTTCATTGTTCATCTCTTCAACAGCACTGCGGGATGGTAACATTTGTCTCATCAATGCAGAGAACACCATCCATACAGGAAGTGAAGGAGGAAACATCAAAGTTGAATGCTCCTTCTCTTTCTTTATCTCTCGAGACAGAAAGATGTTCTGTAAGAAAGAATGTGAAGGAAAAAAGATTCTCATTCAAACAGATAAGAACAGAGATCAGAGAGGCAGATACAGCATTGAATATAAGAAATCATATTATGGATCTGCAATTCTGTACGTGAGCATCACAAAGCTGACTAAGTCTGATTCGGGCGGTACAGATGTCAGTTGGGCAATACTGTGTTCGATTTAACCAAGGACTTTGAGCTCAGAGTTGAAGATGGTGAGTTTCTACTGAGAGTTATGAAATGAAGTGTTCACTGACAGCTGCTGATGTTTCTAATAACCCAACATGTTTAGTCTAACAATTATATTTGGAGCTGCATATTTCCATCATTGTGAACACTGATAAATGCTCCTTTAAAAGCAACAGTTCATCTGTAAAATATCTGATCAACTCAAACTGTCACACAAATGGACACACTGCAGTTGATTTGAATATTGTTGCAGCAAACACATTGATGACCTCCTGCATTTAGCTGTATGGTTAAAACTACATTGATACATTGACTGTTTGCAGAGAATTTGTGTTATTTCAGTGAAATGTTACCACAGAGTTTTTTGTATCTGTACAATCAGTATCTGATTGTTTCATTGTGTTTTTCATGTTTCACAGCTCCAACCACTTCAAAACCAAAGAGGAAAACCACCACCAAAGCACCTTTTACACCATCAGTCCCATCAGCCTCCACACCGACAACAACACAGAGTTTAAGCTCCAGTTCAGGAAGCTCCACACCTTCATCATCCTCCCCTGAAACCACCAACCAGCCTGAACAGCAACAGAGAGCTGCAGGTCCAGGTACATTTACAGCATTCAACAAAACCTTGTTTGTGAATATGTATGTACTGTAGGTATGCAGATATATGAATGTGTATGCTTGTCTGTGTGGAACTAATGTTCACTGTTGGTTTGAGTTACTTTTGTTCAGTCCAATTATTCAAATAGCATACAAACATAAAACAAACATCAGATTAAACATTCACAGGTTTACTGCTGTATGTGAGTCTGACTCTGGTTGTCATGATCATCGTATTATCAGCGGCTGTGCTGATATTCTGCAGGAAGAGGGCCAGTAAACCCAAAGGTGAGGCTGCAGGAAACACACACACACACACACACACACAACAAAGGCAACTGACCATCTAAAACTTAATTTTCTCGCAAATTTCTTGCATTTACCAGCTTTCACATGTGATACAAATATAAATAAAATATAAAACTTTGGTATGTTTAACACATGATGTGTAATTTGATCTTAAACCTTAAAGTTTCTGCACTGGGGCAAATGTAATGTACCACCATTATAAAAGAGATGCAGGTAAAACTGTGGACAGGACACCCAAACAGCAAACAATTTCAATTATCACCCTTTGTGTTATGATTTTTAAAGCATGGACATTTTTCTCAGAGCTGTATGTGTCTCTTTGACTAAACCTGCCCGGTTGCATTAACCACCTTCAGTTCAAGGCTTAAGTTTGTTTTGTTTTTATTGTTGTTCTCCTTGAATATGGAAAGCACAAACACATCATTTTTGTGAAATGAACCGTAGATGAAGTAATGAGCAATATGAAAATACTAATACTAATATAGTGACACTGACAGGAGTCGACAAAAACTGGTGAGTTTCAGTAAAATTATATTTTGTTTTTCAGAACCTCCTGTGGAAACTGAGTATGCTAATGGAACAGAGGTGAGTTTGAGTACATTTGGGATATTTCAGTGTCATTAGTGTTTGTGACAGCAGCTGATATTAATACAAACAAACCCCTGTTCTCTTCCAGCAGACCAACAGAGTGTATGAGGAGATCAGAGAGGAGGACAAACAGAGCAGATCTCCTCCTGCAGAAATATCTACAGTTTACACTTACGCCAAATACTCCAAACCAAATGCAGTTGAAACCACAGATGAGTACAGCCTTATCACTGCAGCTGGTCCCCAGAACCAAGTGAGTAAAAACTATGGTCAGATTTTAGGATTTAGGCTCAAAACACATTTAGGCTATTTCCACGAATATAACTTGACATGGTAATAATTTTTACACATTTCACAAAAGCTGTTTCTCTGTCTCACATCCAAATATGGCTGATGTACAATTAAGTTTTTAAATAGTTGTCCTTTGTTGTTTGGATCCAGGCTTTGTGCCATATAAAGGCAGCAAGTGAACATTTTGTCCTTAGGGTTTATGTGTTAGAAGCAGGAAAAATGGGCAGCGTGACGATCTGAGCGACTTTGACAAGAACCACATTGTGATGGACGACTGGGTCAGAGCATCTCCAAACCTGCAGCTCTTGTGGGGTGTTCCCGGTCTGCAGAGGTCAGTACCTATCAAAAGTGGGTCCAAGGAAGGAAAGAACCGGAGACAGGGTCATGGGCGGCAAAGGCCCATTGATGCAGGTGGGGAGTGAAGTCTGGCCCGTGTGGTTCGATCCAACAGACGAGCTACTGTAGCTCAAACTGCTGAAACAGTTAATGCTGGTTCTGATAGAAAGGAGTCAGAACACACAGTACAGAGCAGTCTGTTGGTACGGGGCCGCGTAGCTGCAGACCAGTCACGATGCCCATGCTGACCCCTGTCCACTGCTGAAAGCACCTGTAACGGGCACGTGAGCATCAGAACCGGAAGAATGTGGTCTGGTCTGATGAATAACGTTTTCTTAAATCTTTCGGATGCCCGGGTGCGTCACTTACCTGGGGAACACATGGCACCAGAATGCACTATGGGAAGAAGGAAAGCCGGTGGAGGCAGTGTGATGCTTTGGGTGATGTTCTGCTGGGAAACCTTGGGTCCTGCTATTCATGTGGATATTACTTTGATACGTACCACCTACCTCAGCATTGTTGCAGACCACGTACACTCTTTCATGGAAACTGTATTCCCTGATGGCAGTGGCCTCTTTCAGCAGGATAATGTGCTATGTTACACAGTAAAAATGGTTCAGGAACAGTTTGAGGAACACAACAACGAGCCCCAGATCTCAATCCAATCGAACATCTGTGGGATGTGCTGGAGAAACAAGTCCGATCCATGGAGGCCCGACCTCACAACTAACAGGACTTCAAGGATCTACTGTTAACGTGTTGGTGCCAGATACCACAGCACACCTTCAGAGGTCTAGTGGGGTCCAAGCCTCAATGGGTCAGGGCTGTTTTGGCAGCAAAAGATGGACTAGTTCAATATCAAACAAAAAGAAATATATCTATTTATGTTCAGTTTGTTCATCAAGAGAGAAAAGTAACCATAAAATAAAAGCTTCCAGTTGCTATTGAGACTAAAACAGTCAGTAAGTGATAACCTTTGACCTCTGATTGTTTTCTTCCAGACTGAAGACGACCCGAGTAAACTCACCTACTCTGAGGTGGATTTCTCCAACGGTGCAGCTGCCTCGCTCCACAGCGCCCCCCGTGGTGATGCAGATAACGTGGTCTACTCTGTGCCTCGGGTTGCAGCGAGCAGCCACGCCGAAGACGCTTCCCCTCCTCTGTACTCTACTGTTAGTTTGCATCAGCTGTAGCTCCAACGCTGTCGACGCCACATTGACTCTCTCAGTGGTCAACAGGTGAACACACAGTGGTTTGAAGGACTCACATTCACACACAAATCTGTTTGTTAGCTCCTTATACTGCTTCTACTTTAAGTTAAGCTTCTCTTAAATATATATTTTTAAAGATATTAATGTATTAAAGTTCAGGTGAAATAAAGTATTTAATTTTAACCCTTTAATATTGCATCCTCAGTTATTTTGTTCCCGTATTTAACTTTATTTTAATGTTCCCACCAGGAGTTGAAATATGGACATTTTGAATTTGGGGAATGTCAGGAATGGATGCAGCATCCCCACTAACCCCTAATATCATTACAATATTGTCTTCTGAATTTCAATGTCAGTTATTGTGCCTGCAGAACTGAAGAAATCTGAAGGAATATTACATCTGAACATTGACACCAACGACATTGAGCTCTCTTGATTCTTAAATGCAGGTCCAATATATTAATCTTATAAATAACCTCAGAATTGGTTCAAAGTTCATCAAAATCCACAAACTGAGAGATGAAATATGGCCACCTCTTCTTTAAACACTGTCTACTGTTTACCTCATGATCCTACAACTAAAGATAAAGATTATTTTTTATTTACAATGATTGTCACTGTGATAAGTTGCCTTCAAACCCATCGATCTGTTACATAAACTGAACTTCCTGGATCGTATTAAGTCTCCCTCCCTCCCTGTCACTTGTTTTATGAAATAGGACATATAATAGGACTCAACAATAGACACAAATGATTGAATAAGATGGAGACTTTTTGCAGTGGAGATGGAAATATGGCATTAATGCTGCTGTAAGTTACAATCAGACCCAGTTTTTATGTAAAATCATACATTACATAATAATGAGGGGTGGAGAGGTCTGTGTGTGTGTGTGTGTGTGTGTGTGTGTGTGTGTGTGTGTGTGTGTGTGTGCTGTTTGGAGGAGGGACTCCATCATTTAGAGAAGTGAGGAGTTCCTGGTTTGTCAGTGAAGACGGAAGAGAGGCAGCGATAAACCATCAGAGCCTCCAACATGAAAGTCTGTCACACTTTGATCTGCTTCTTCTTCCTCTGTGAGTACACTCTCCTTCTCTATCACTCTGTCTTCCTGCTGTATTGATCTTAATTGATGTATTATTGATTTATTTGTTGATATTTTGTTGATGATTCTCATGAGTGGACTCTTGAGAAACTGTTGTTGGTTTCTGTGGTTAAAAATGGCCACTTCTCTGTAAAGAAGAAGTAGAAGTAGAAGAAGTACTAAGCTGGCCTACTGTACATGTGTCTGTTGTTCTGCTATTGTTGTTTTACGTGTAACAAAATGCATTGCAGTTGTTTTTTGTTGTATTTTGCAGATAGTTGAATTACTTAATTGTTGAAATTTACATTTTAAGTTTTTTCTTTTTATTTTGGAATGCAGAGTCAGAATCGAAGATTATGATGTGTAAAATATTTGGTGAAAGAATACAACTAAAATTGTTACCCTTCAGTCACAGACTGGTTGAACTGGGCAGCTCCCAGTATGACTCTGTGTTCCTGTGTGAATGTCACTGCAACATCTTACAGGAAGAACAGATAGTAACTATTGATTGTTCATCTTTTCAACAGCACTGCAGGATGGAAACACTGGTCCCATCAAAAAAGAAATCCCTGTCCATACACGAACTGAAGGAGGAAACATCACAGTTAAATGCTCCTTCTCTTCGTCTGGAAGCAGGAAGATGTTCTGTAAGAGAGAATGTGAAGGAAAAGACATTCTCATTGAAACAAATGAGAGCAGAGCTCAGAGTGGCAGATACAGCATTGAATATGAAGAAGAACCTTATGTTTCTGCAGTTCTGAATGTGAGCATCAAAAACCTGACTAAGTCTGACTCGGGGCGGTACAGATGTTGGTTGGGCAGTTTGATTAAAAATGCAACCGAGGACTTTGAGCTCAGAGTTGAAGATGGTGAGTTTCTACTGAGAGTCATGAAATGAAGTGTTCACTGACAGCTGCTGATGTTTCTAATAACCCAACATGTTTAGTCTAACAATTATATTTGGAGCTGCATATTTCCATCATTGTGAACACTGATAAATGCTCCTTTAAAAGCAACAGTTCATCTGTAAAATATCTGATCAACTCAAACTGTCACACAAATGGACACACTGCAGTTGATTTGAATATTGTTGCAGCAAACACATTGATGACCTCCTGCATTTAGCTGTATGATTAAAACTACATTGATACATTGACTGTTTGCAGAGAATTTGTGTTATTTCAATGAAATGTTACCACAGAGTTCTTTGTATCTGTACAATCAGTATCTGATTGTTTCATTGTGTTTTTCATGTTTCACAGCTCCAACCGCTTCAAAACCAAACTGGAAAACCACCACCAAAGCACCTTTTACACCATCAGTCCCATCAGCCTCCACACCGACAACAACACAGAGTTTAAGCTCCAGTTCAGGAAGCTCCACACCTTCATCATCCTCCCCTGAAACCACCAACCAGCCTGAACAGCAACAGAAAGCTGAAGGTCCAGGTACATTTACAGCATTCAACAAAACCTTGTTAGTGAATATGTATGTACTGTAGGTATGCAGATATTAATGTGTATGCTTGTCTGTGTGGAACTTATGTTCACTGTTGGTTTGGATTCCTTGTGTTCAGTCGAGTTATGCAAAATAACATACAAACAACAAAACAAACATCAGCTCAAACATTCACAGGTTTGCCGCTGTATGTGAGTCTGACTCTGGTCGTCATCATCATCGTATTATCAGCGGCTGTGCTGATATTCTGCAGGAAGAGGGCCAGTAAACCCAAAGGTGAGACTGCAGGAAACCAGGGGCCAGTGAGAGAAACACTAATACAGATGTGCAGTGAGGTGCAAAATGCAGAAGCAAACCTAGAAACTAGAAAACTTTGCTGTCTCATGTGCTCTGTGAGCAATTTTGATTAAAGGGAGTGCGTCTGGGTCCAGTATGTTACCTAACATCTGTACATCCACAACATTGACTATATGTACCATAAACACAAAAACTATACAGCTGCCAACTTTGCTTGAATAAAACCAGGTGGAAATTTGTTTTGTATTTGTGTTAAAGACACCTTTAAGGTGTCAGAGCAATAAACCTTCCATTGCTACTGTAGCACTGAATGCTAGCTCTCACATAAACAGTTATTGATTATTAGTGCTAGCAGGCGATCTACACTAGTTTTAGTCCTTTTCATTCATTCATTAAATACTCTTCAGATGTGATGGGTACGTGCAAAATGGCTGCTGGGGGGTTTCCACAGTTTTGTAGTATCTTCTTACAGGATCATCAAACTGTACTACAGTAAGAAAACCATGTGGCTCTGTAGTTGCTCGAGCCTCAACTGAACAAAATTAAACGAATCCACCTTAACGAGCAGAACATGTATCTTAAAGAGACGATAACATGCTACATAATGTTGCCTTTTACAGAATATCACACCTCAATCAAAATGAATGAAATCAAATGATTTTGTGCTCTATCTACCAATTAACTTATTCAATGAAATGACTTCATTATCTAATTTATCATAGATTATTAAACAAAATACAGACTGCACATTTTCATTTAAGTAAAACATTTTTAAATGTAAAAAGTTGCTAAAGTCTGTTGAAACGTTGCTATAGTTGATAAATCAAGTGATATGACATCATTACATCGTAACATAACTATATAGATACAAGATATAAAAGAATGGACATTAAAAAACATGAAGTCAAGCTGAACTGAACCAACTCAATTAGCTTTATTATTAACTATTATTATTTTTACAGACTGTGTCATGAGTAGAGAGGATCCAGACATTAACTTTACATTATGAGAAAAAGATGAAGCATAAATAGTCAAGTTCAATCATTTATAAAGATATATTAAGGAGTTCTGCAGACAGACTGTGGGGATCAGAGGTTGGTCGGTACAAGCACACTCACTGTTGTTTCTGACTGACTGCTGATTGGTCGACTCTTTGTTTTTCAGAACCTCCTGTGGAAACTGAGTATGCTAATGGGACAGAGGTGAGTTTGAGTACATTTGGGATATTTCAGCGTCATTAGTGTTTGTGACAGCAGCTGATATTAATACAAACAGACCCCTGTTCTCTTCCTGCAGGCCAACAGAGTGTATGAGGAGATCAGAGAGGAGGACAGACAGAGCAGATCTCCTTCTGCAGAAATATCTACAGCTTACACTTACGCCAAATACTCCAAACCAGATGCAGTTGAAACCACAGATGAGTACAGCCTTATCACTGCAGCCGGTCCCCAGAACCAAGTGAGTAAAACCTATGGTCAGATTTTAGGATTTAGGCCTAAAACACATTTAGGCTACATCCACTAATATAACTTGACATGGTAATAATTTAGATTTTTACACATTTCACAAAAGCTGTTTCTCTGTCTCACATCCAAATACGACTGATGTACACTTCACTTTTTAATTAGTTGAGTTGTCTGTTAAAAAATGTCATTGTGTTGAACAACAGAGGAAATATTTTGTGGCAGAATAGAGAGAAGATTGTCTGAAGAAAACATGTATTTTACTTTACATCAGTTTATGTATCAGATTTAAAACAAACTCCAAGTTTTACTAAAGATATCAAAGATTGATATAATAACATATTATTACAACTTAAACAGTCACTAAGCGATAACCTTTGACCTCTGATTGTTTTCTTTCAGACTGAAGATGACCTGAGTAAACTCACCTACTCTGAGGTGGATTTGTCCAACGGTGCAGCTGCTTTGCTCCACAGCGCCCCCCGTGGTGATGCAGATAACGTGGTCTACTCTGTGCCTCGGTCAGAAGCGAGCTAGGATGGCAGCCGCACCTAAGACGCTTCCCCTCCTCTGTACTCTACTGTTAGTTTGCATCAGCTCCAACGCTGTCGACGCCACATTGACTCTCTCAGTGGTCAACAGGTGAACACACAGTGGTTTGAAGGAGTCACATTCACACACAAATCTGTTTGTCAGCTCCTTTTACTGCTTCTACTTTAAGTTAAGCTTCTCTTAAATATTTTGGTTAAAGATATTATTAAAATGTTTGACTACCAGCTGGTGTCTAATTGTAAAGACTCACTGAAAGCAGGATGCTAAGAGTTAAAGTTCAGCCCTGGGACGTGAATGAGCCTCTGTTATGTCTATATCAGTGACACAAAAGAGAGACTGACTGAAAGGTTTAACTTGTGTTGAGCAAAATGTGTCTGGACGTTCTGTAGTGAACCAACAAAAAGTACTCTGTGAGGGTCCTGCAGTTACTGCAGAGGGGCCACCAAAATATACTTTGAAAGTGTTTTTTATATTGTACACGTTATTGTAGGCCTAGTTTACTATGCAAGATCATTTAAAACAGTGTGTTAGTTGGGAGTCTCTGCTCTGTCTCTCTATCCATTAGATACGACAGCTTTTTGTGTGTAGGTTTTAAAATGCTTTTTTGATGCTGTTAATTTATTGCTATGTTGCAGTATTTATCTATTTTCTTGAGTACAAAATAAAAAAAATATTTTTCAACAAGATAAAGAAAAAGAATTGTGCAGTCTGTCCTTGTTAGTGTCATTCATTTATTGGACTGAAGCACGAACTCTCACTTTATTTAAGAACAAAAAATAGACTCAGAAAAGGACTAAGATAGAGGTTTCTAGCAGTAAAGGTTAAAATGCATTTAATCCTTTTCTAGTTCACCGACCACTCAGCACGCTTTAACATTCACACACTGATGGTAGACGCTGCAGTGCAACGTTGTCTTTCTTAAGGACACGCCGACACTGTCTGGTTTGAGGTATTGAACCAGGAACCTTCTGATTACTAGACAACCTGCTTTACTTCCTCAGCTGTTGTCGCCCCCGCAGCAGTGCAGACAGACTGTACTCACACCTTTTTTTTTTTAAAGATATGACATTAAAGGCGCTTCAAGCTCCACCCAGGCCAGGTTTTACTGTATAATGCACTCACACAGTTGCACGTAGTTGACTCTGCAGTGGAAAAAGTGACAAAAAAAGAGAGAGAGTGTGTGCTGTTTGGAGGAGGGACTCATTTCCTGGTTTGAAGAAAGAAGACAGGCAGCATTAAACCATCAGAGCCTCCAAGATGAAAATCCATCACTCTTTTATCATCTTCTTCTTCCTCTGTGAGTACACTTTTGTTCTGTTTTTACTGCAGTTTCCCAGAAATAGTCTTCTTTTTCCTTTTACTTGTGCCTGTTGTTCTGCTGTTCCTGTTATATGAAATGTAAATGATATAAAATGCATTGCAGGTTTTAATATGTTATAATAATAATATAATATGTTCTGCTGCTTCAGTCTGACTGCAGCTGAGTTTGTTGTTGCAACACAGGAAACCATGTATCTACTCTTCTTTGGAATATACAGAAAGGACAGTTGGAGGGCTGTGAGAGCAAAGACAGTTTTATTTTAAATACGTTTGGTTTTTCTGACTCACTGGTTCCTAAATCATTCTGTTTACTTCGCCAGAGCTGAAAACAACTCCAGAAGAACAGCAGCACTTCAGCTGTAAACTATGAACAGAATCTAGATAACATTAGTCTCATCAAGGGGTTCAAACTCTTTCATGTCAAGGACCCCCAGTTTAAATGGATTTTGTCTAAAAGAATCCTCTCTGAGCATTTTTTTAATTTTAATTTTGAAGAAAATAAAGCCTATTGATTAATAGTCAATGAATGATGAATCACTAGAAATGTCTGTCAGAACGGCCAACCTTATTTCTTCTGTTGTTCCAACTTCCAAAAAATGTGGTAAAAGTTAAAATATGATATTCCTCCTCTTGCTAGCCCCTTAAATCCCCATCAAAGCCCCTTGTTGGTCCCTGGACCCCAGTTTGGAAACCACTGAATTACATAACTTCTTGTGTTGTTCGCTCTATATCATGATTTCTCCAGAATTGCTTACCCCACCTTTAATTGGTACAATGTACATTTTCTGTTGGATTAAACTGTTACCCTTCAGTCACAGACTGGTTGAACTGGGCAGCTCCCAGTATGAATCTGTGGATCTGTGTGAATGTGAGACACATCAGACTGCAACATCTTACAGGAAGAACACATAGTAACTGTTGATTATTCATCTTTCTAACAGCACTGCAGGATGGAAACACTGGTTTCATCAAAAAAGAAATCCCAGTCCGCACAGGAACTGAAGGAGGAAACATCACAGTTGGATGCTCCTTCGTCTTCATCTTCTCTAGAGAAAGAAAGGTCTTATGTAAGGAAAAATGTGAAGGAAAAGACATTCTTATTGAAACAACTGACAACAGAGCTCAGCGAGGCAGATACAGCATTGAATATAAAGAAGGATCCTTTGGCTTATCTTCATCAGTTCTGTATGTGAGCATCACAAAGCTGACTAAGTCTGACTCAGGGCGGTACAGATGTTGGTTGGACAGACGTTTTCTTCTAGATTCAAGCAAGGACTTTGAGCTCAGAGTTGAAGATGGTGAGTTTCTACTGAGAGTCATGAAATGAAGTGTTCACTGACAGCTGCTGATGTTTCTAATAACCCAACATGTTTAGTCTAACAATTATATTGGGAGCTGTATGGGGTCGGCAGTGGCTCAGGATGTAGAGCGGGTCGGCCACTAATCAGAAGGTGGCGCTTCCATCCCCGGCTCCTCCCGCTGCTTGTCGAAGTGTCCTTGATCAAGATACTGAACCCCAAATTGGTGTATGGCACAGAATCAAGAGCAATGAATATGTTTCAATGAGTTAGTTTCAGTTTTTGATGGCAGTTGCCATCACTGTATGAATGTGTGTGAATGGCGAATGTGGCCTGTAGTGTTAGTGTGCTTTGAGTGGTCGGAAGACTAGAAAGGGGCTGTAGAAGTACAACACTGATAAATGCTCCTTTAAAAGCAACAGTTCATCTGTAAAATATCTGAAATATGTTTCACAGCTCCAACCGCTTCAAAACCAAACTGGAAAACCACCACCAAAGCACCTTTTACACCATCAGTCCCATCAGCCTCCACACCGACAACAACACAGAGTTTAAGCTCCAGTTCAGGAAGCTCCACACCTTCATCATCCTCCCCTGAAACCACCAACCAGCCTGAACAGCCACAGAGAGCTGCAGGTCCAGGTACATTTACAGCATTCAACAAAACCTTGTTTGTGAATATGTATGTACTGTAGGTATCCAAATATATGAATGTTTATGTTTGTCTGTGTGGAACTTATATTGATTGTTAGTTAAAAATATACTGTTACGTTGATCTGAAATGTTAGTTGATATTAATATTAGTTTGAGAACACCGTGTGACTGGACCCCCGGGTCCTACATGTACTTAGGACTCCCAGATACACTGTATTTTATAATGAACCTGTGTCAGTGTAAAACAACCTTGTTCTACTGCTAAAGCAACCACAGGTTTGCTGCTGTACGTGTGTCTGACTGTGGTTGCCATGTTCATCATAACATCAGCTGCTGTGCTGATATTCTTCAGGACGAGGGCCAGTAAACTCAAAGGTGAGACAACAGGAAACACACACATATCAAAGGAACTGAACATCGGGTAGCTATGGGTAAACACTTGCTTTTCCCTTACAACAGCCTATGGAAATCCTTGATTTATGCAGTTTACAGATGTTTCAACAGTGGATCTAATCTTCTGAACTGCATGTTTTTCAGAACCTGCTCTGGAAACTGAGTATGCTAGTGTCACAGAGGTGAGTTTGAGTACATTAGGGACATCTCGGTGTCATTAGTGTTTGTGACAGCAGCTGATATTAATAGAAACAGACCCCTGTTCTCTTCCTGCAGGCCAACAGAGTGTATGAGGAGATCGGAGAGCAGGACAGACAGAGCAGATCTCCTCCTGCAGAAATATCTACAGTGTACACTTAACACTGCAGCCAGTTCTCAGAAGAAAGTGAGTAAAAACTCTGGTAGGGTTTTTGAACCTACATTTGAATAAATCCACAACTTGACATGATGAGAGTTTTTTTACACATTTCATAAAAGCTGTTTCTCTATCCCACATCCAAAAACAGCAGTTGTAAAATGACTATTAAATTGTTCAATTGCTTTTTTGTGTTTGGATCCAGGAAGTGTTCCCCTTAATGTTGAGTTTAATAAGAAAAATACATAATATCTATTTATGTCCAATTTATTCATCAAGAGAGAAAAGTAACCAATTAAGAAACAGGGACCAGGTCAGTCCTTAAAAGCCCAGCTGATATCTAAAACAAAGACAAGGAATTACAGATGGTTATTATCTTAGAATAACATACAGTATGTGGACAATACAAATCATCTCTTCATACCTGAATTATTTATTATTTATTTCTATTCAAATACAGATAATCTACAGAGCCACAAAGTAAAATAAAAGCTTCAAGTTGCTATTAAGACTAAAACAGTAAGTGATAACCTTTGACCTCTGCTCTTTTTTTTCCCAGACTTCCAGTAAATCCACCTACTCTGAGGTGGATTTCTCCAACGGTGCAGCTGCCTGGCCCCACAGCGCCCCCTGTGGTGATCTCGTCGTCTACTCTGTGCCTCGGGTTGCAGCGAGCAGCCACGCCGAAGACGCTTCCCCTCCTCTGTACTCTACTGTTAGTTTGCATCAGCTGTAGCTCCAACGCTGTCGATGCCACATTGACTCTCTCAGTGGTCAACAGTCACAGTTTCATTCACACACACAAATCTGTTTGTTCCTGTAACAACCTGTGAGAAGTTACGGCTCTCAGCTAGCTTCAAGTTGGAGCTCCTTTTACTAATTCTACTTTAAGTTAAGCTTATCCTAAATTTATATATAAGATATTATAGATAAAGTGTGACTACCAGCTGGCGTCTAATTGTAAATAAATTCAGCCCGGGGATGTGAATGAACATCCTCTGTAATCTCTGTGGGAAAGTGATGTGAAACTGACTGTTTCACAACCTCAACCATGTGTTACCGAGGTGTCTTACACAGACTCTAAAAGCTACCTTGTGTGTCTGTATGAGACGAAGACGGTTGTGACAAAGCAGCATCAGTAGCCTATTTGATTCAACGATTCAAGGTTATTTTACTGTAATTTACAACACAAGGCTGTAGAATGAAATTTAGATATGGTTGCCTTTATACTACTGCCTCCTAGTGGGGGAAAAGTGCATCTTTAATGCTTATTAAATGATGTTGACTTATAACAGTTTACCCTCTTGTTATGCTTTATGAGCAATAAAACTTTTGTCTTTTAACAAAATAAAGGAAAATCAGCCGGTGCAGTGTCTTTTTCATATCAAGTCTTTTATCAGTGTCTTTGATCAGAGATGGGGACTCGAGTTTGCGACTCTGACTCGAGTCACACTTAAGTCGCACACACAGAGACTTCAGACTCGACTCGGACTCGTGTTTTGGGACTCTTGAACAATCATTATGTTTTCTTTTTTGGCGTATTAATATTGAGGAAACTGAAACGTGTGACGAGCTTAATGTGATTCCTTCCTTTTTTTTTCATGGTAACCATGGTAACCATATTACGCATTGGGTGCACGCCTCGCGGCCTCACGCACTAGTACCTCGGATGACGACTATGGCGACCGGCGGCACACCTCTCAGAAACATGTGGTTCCAGATGTGTTTTGCTACACATAAAAATATTAGCTATATCATCCAGATCTTATTACTATAATTAACAGCCTAATTAAAGGCTCATTACAACCAGAAGAGACATATGACTTTTATTTTTTAGAGACTAGAGACTCGTGTGTGTGTGTGTGTGTGTGTGTATATATATGTGCGTATGTAGATTTTACTCAGAAGTGTGTGTCTGTGTGGGTGGGTGAGTGAGTGTGTGCATGGATGGGGGTTACATACAAAAAAAATGATTTGACCACCCTTGTTTCTTCAGTTTCTTGTTCATTTTAATGCCTGGTACAACTAAAGGTAAAATTGTTTGGACAAATATAACGATAACAACAAAAATAGTTCATAAGAGTTAAATTTAAGAGCTGATATCTAGCCATTTTCCATGGTTTTCTTGATAATAACCAAAATCACTTAAGTTGCAGCCATGCGTTTTGGCAAAAATTAAAACAAATTTGCTTTGTTTTTGGGCTTGTGGTTCTCCATTTTGAGTTTGAGGATGTTCCACAGGTTTTCAATTGGATTTAGATCTGTTGATTGACCAGGCCAAGGCATGGTTTGAATGTTCTGGTTCTCCATCCAGGCTTTAACTGACCTTGCCATGTGGCAAGGGGCATTGTCTTGTTGGAAAATCCAGTCATTCGAGGCAGGAAAGAGTTTATCAGCTGATGGAAGAAGACTGTTTTCAAGAGTAGCACTGTATGTGACCTGGTTTATTCGCCCTTCACACAATTGCATTTGCCCTGTTCCACCCATACTGAAACAACCCCAGATCATCACCGATCCACCCCCATGTTTTACTGTAGGGGCAAGCAGTCTGGTTTGTAGGCTTCTCCAGGCTTCCTCCTAACCAGTAAGTTGGCTGGAGTGGGTATCAACTCAAGATTGGATTCATCACTGAAGAAAACCTTAGCCCAATCATCAACAGTCCAATCCTTGTGATCCCTAGCAAAGAGTAACCGGGCGTTCCTCTGCCTTTCGTTGATGAAGGGCTTCTTCCATGCCCTGTGTGACTTCAGACCAGCTTCAAGAAGTCGGTTTTGAACTGCCCTTGCTGAACAAGTCACATTTTTCGACAGTGCCCACTCATTTTTAAGGTCCCTGCAGGTCTGACGACGATTCCTGACACAAGAACGGATGAGTGCACGATCATCTCGTGGGGTAGGAAGACATTTCCTGCCTCGACCAGCTAGCAATTTGGTAGTACCATGTTCGGCTTGCTTTTTCTTGGTGTAATGAACGGCTGTCTTGGAGATCTTTTTGGCTACCTGTCTCTCACTCATGCCAATTTCCAGCAGTGCCAAGATGGCTGTCTTTGTGGCTTCACATAATTTTTTTTTTTTAGGCATTATGTGAGAGCCAGGGTTGGACTGGCCATCTGGCATACCGGGCATCGTCCCGGTGGGCCGGTCCGGTCCGCTATGTTTTTTTTTTCTCTCTCTAAATTCCCTCCAATTTGGCCGGCCAATTGGCTACAGAGGGCTAGCAGTGTGTTGCCAGTATGGACACATATTATTGGTCTATGTTTGTCATTTTCAATCAATCAGTGCTGTCAATCACAACACAAACCAGGGTGGGCGGGACCTCATGTCATGGGCCGGAGTGGCGGGACGGGCTGCTGCTGAGCTGAAGATGGATAACCGTAAGAAACGCCCGGGTGGTGCTGAAACACTGCGACTTAAAAAGCTGAAGTCTCTGGAGGTGGAAGCTGCTAAATGTTGGACATTGACAGACCTATTTGGTGCCGGGGTCACCACCCCAGCAGGTGCTGCTGCGCCGGGAGACGAGCGAGTGGAGGCAGACATGGTGAGTAACGTTAGCCTGGTTTTTCCATTGAATGTGATGGGACCTCATTAACTGCATACTTGTGACAACATATTAGCCCAGAGTTGAAGGGCTGTGACTGTTGGTAGTTGTGGTTGATTTGGTTTAAATATGCCGAATTGTGATATTATGGGTTATTATTGTTCTAAGTTAGCTAACAGCTGCTAACGTCAGCAGTCTCTTGTTGCCATAGCAACAGTAACCATTGACATGGACTGATGACTGTAAATAGAGATGCAGAATCTGTATTGTAAATACAGATGAGATACTTTGAATTTTAGCACAAAATACAAGTAAACCTAGAGGAAATAATGAGTTTAATTTGCAATATTTGCCATTGAATTTATTGTAATCTTTCAATTCATTTATTGTTTAATGAGGTGATAACTATTTTATTTTATGTTTTATGAAATCATACTTAATTTGTGATGATTAGAGACTTAATAATGTCTCCATGTCCCTCTCAGGTTGAACACTTGACATGTGAGAGCCTGAGGAGTTGTTCCCCCTCCGTCCATTTTCGAGGACTTGCTCTCTTACTGCCTCCACTTCACCACTGTTTGGCTACTGAGACGTCTCTGATTTGTTGAGTATGTCATGTGTCTTATAATGTTATATGAATTCATACTTGATTTGTGATGATGACTTAATAATGTTTCCATGTCTCTTTCAGGTTGACCACCCTATATATGAGAGCCTAAGGAGTTGTTTTCCCTCTGTCCCCTTTTGAGGACCTGCTTTGTCTCCTCCATCATTCACTGGGCCACTTTTGGGTTCCTGAGCTTATTTCATGTGGTGAGAGGAATGCAATATGTGTATGTTTAAAGGTTTATGTGAAGAAACATACTATATGTGTGATAAAATGACAATTGGTAATTCACAAATGTCTCTATATTCTCTGCTACCATCATCTCCTGTCAAACAGGAGAGAGAGAGAGAGAGAGAGAGAGAGAGAGAGAGAGAGAGAGAGAGAGAGAGAGAGAGCTTCGTCTTGACTTTGGGAGGTTATTATGCAACTTGTTTTGTCTCAGATTGAAACAAAAGGTTTGATTATGATTATTTCCTGGTTGAAGATTTTCATATTGATGATTTTAATTTCAAACATCTGCATATCTTTTAAGTTCAATTAACAGTTATGCAGGTAGGCCTTAGGGCTCTTTTGAGACTTCAGTCATCCTTCATGACAGATACATTTGTTCACTAAGTGTCACTACATCACAAAAAGGCTACATGGCTACATATACTTGTCAGTACACAGATACTGAGTACAAGTTGTGTTTGCTGTTGCAGGTCATGAATTTGGTGAGGAGTGGAGCTGGCTGGCTGCGGGCGAGGAAGTAGGGCAATATATACATGTGCACATACACGTATATGAGAATGCATATCTATTCAGACCTGTAATTCATGTCTTAGACTTTTTCACACAGCTATAGATCATTATTTGTTTTTCAATTCTCTATTCATGGTTTCATAATGACTGAGTCACCGTTAAAACAAATGAGTTTCAGCTCTAATGCTGCTACTGTCTGTAATATGTTTCCATTTAGATTATTTGTCAGGAGATTTTGTTATTATTGTCCCAGTCTGGTTTTAACTAATGCTGGGCTTACACCAAAAGATTTTCACAGTCACAGACTAAAAACTGAAAGGGTAGCATGAGGGTTCTTCCCGTTAGTCTCGTCCCACCCCTAGTCATGACATAACTTCTGTTGTGATTTGACACTATAATGAATAAAGACTGATTGATTGCTATAGCTGTCAATTTTAGTCCTTGAGTTCATAGTTACGTGCTTTATTTGTTAACTGCTATCAAGGAATATGACTCTCCTTTGTAGTATGCATGAGACGAGATTTGTGGACTTCTATGTAGTGTCTGCTGATAATGTACTGGGCTGGTCTGGACAGAAAATGCCAGGGCTGAATTTAGGTCCCAGTCCACCCCTGGTGAGAGCTGACAACTTCTGAGTTGTGCTACGGCTTGAATGTAAGCAGGAAACCACTCTAGGCCTTTGCATGTGCAGTGCTGCTTATGACATGAAATGGCCTCTTATATACCCTGGGAACAAAATTAAGCTTAAGCATGTCAAATAGGACATAAAGTATTAAGGAATCAGCTGCATTTTTTGTTGTGTTCATTTCATTCTTCAGGTAATATACCTTTAGTGGTACCAGGCATTAAAATGAACAAGAAATTGAAGAAAACAAGGGTGGTCTAATAATTTTTTCCATGACTGTATGTAGGTATGTGTGGATATTTATTTATTTTTAGATCTTTTTTTAAATACACAGAGGATAAATTGCTCAACCAATTTCGTTGTTACATCTGTGACAATGACAATAAAGAAATTCTGATTCTGATTCTGATTCAGATTTTTTTGTACTGAGGCACTGAACACTCACTTGGACTAAGAAAGGCAGAGCCTGAGAAGGCTTGGGTCCTTCAACATCTGCAAAAAACTGCTGCAGATGTCTTACCAGTCTGTGGTGGCCAGTGTGCTCTTTTATGCTGTGGTTTGCTGGGGAGGAAGCAGCAAGAAGAGAGACAGACTGGTGAGGAGAGCTGGCTCAGTGGTGGGCACAGAGCTGGACTCTCTGATGACAGTGGCAGAAAGAAGGACCCTGGACAAACTCCCACCACCCTCTGCACAACACCTTCACCAGGCAGAGGAGTGTGTTCAGTGGCAGACTGCTGTCTCAGTCCAGCTCCAACAACAGACGGAAGTAAAGGCAGGGAGGACAATAGACAGTGGACAATTTCTACCTCTATTTGCACTGTTTTACTTCCATTTGCACTCCACTACATTTGCACTGTTTACTGTTTGCTACTGTTCATTTTATATATTATATATATATATAATATAATATTTTAGCTTTTATTTTATTTTTAATTCTATTCTTAAGGTTAGGGTTTTTAATTTTAGTCTAATGTATGTTTAATGTATGTTTTGTATTTTGTATGCTACTGGATACTTGAATTTCCCTCAGGATAAATAAAGTATCTATCTATCCATCTATAAAGAAAAAGAGAAACACAATTATGGACCAAAATGACTAAGATATAGATTTTTAACAAACACCAGTATTCAGCTATTCACTGATGGCAGAGGCTCATCAGGAGCGGTTCGGGGTTCGGTGTCTTTCTTAAGGACACTTATGGGTTCTGGGAATTGACTGATTACGTACACTTTGCTCTGCGGTAGAAAAAAAAAAGTGACTAATAAAGATTGCAACAGATTGCTGCTGTAAGTTACAATCAGACCCAGTTTTTATGTAAAATCAAACATTACATAATAATGAGGGGTGGAGAGGTCTGTGTGTGTGTGTGTGTGTGCTGTTTGGAGGAGGGACTCCATCATTCAGAGTTGTGAGGAGTTCCTGGTTTGATGATGAAGAAAGAAGAGAGGCAGCGATAAACCATCAGAGCCTCCAACATGAAAGTCTGTCACACTTTAATCTGCTTCTTCTTCCTCTGTGAGTACACTCTGTATCACACTCCTTTGACTTATTTTACTACTCTTTCTTTTATTTGACTTATTTCTTTATTCATTTTAAACTTTCCAGTTTTTGTGGTCAGTTTGTCTCCTTGTTTTCTGTGGTTAAACCTGACAATCAGAGACACTTTTACATGCAGTTCATTACAAGTACTAACATAAGTATTTGATATTATTATGATGTTGGCGTGTGTATGTGTGTTTATGTGTTTGATTGTGTATGTGTGTGTATGTGTGTGTGGGGGGGTGGGGTAATATGTGACAGAGAAGCTTCCCCATTGATCTCTGGACAGTGACGGATGTTGGAGTGGGCATTGAATACCAATGGGGTGTGTATGTGGGTTCTGAATGACAGTTCTGCTACTGACCTCAGATCAGTGTAGTGTGGTGCAGACCGCTCATAGCTACGTGAGGTAGCTGCTGTAGAGACCTGCTTTTCTCAGAGATAATTTTGGGGAAGCTATATGCTTCCCCCAGCCTCTTGGAACTGTCTGTGAGAACTGAATACGTTTCTCAGAAATGTTCCTCTTTTCTAGAGTCTGTTTGTCTGCTGTGCTTGTTTTAGATGTGACACAATGCATTGCAGTTGGTTTTTGCTTGCTAACAGGGGAATATGTTGTATGTATGTGTCATCCGCAGACTTGCATCATTCGATGAAATGGAAATATTCTAGATGTGTTCTGCATTTTTTTATACATAAAACTCTAAAGTTTAGCCTGATATATTTGGTATCTTTGGAAACTTTGAAGTCTCCACTATAAAGTTCTGTGTGAACAATGTTTGGATGATGAGTTGGTAATAACTGATCAGTGGGATTTAAGAGGATTCAGTGGGTCACAAATGAAAAAAAAAAAAAACAGAAACATTACAAAACAAAAAGCACATTTGTTTGAACTTGGCTGTTCAAAATCTTTGAAAGAATCCAAATCAAATGTCTGTTGGATTAAATTGACATGTACCTTTCAGTCACAGACTGGCTCCCAGTATGACTCTGTGGATCTGTGTGAATGTCACTGGAACATCTTACAGGAAGGACAGATAGTAACTATTGATTGTTCATCTTTCCAACAGCACTGCGGGATGGAAACACCGGTCTCATTAATGCAGAAAACCTCATCCGTACAGGAAGTGAAGGAGGAAACATTATAGTTGGATGCTCCTTCTCTTTCTCTGGAAGCAGGAAGATCTTCTGTAAGAGAGAATGTGAAGGAAAATACATTCTTATTCAAACAGATGAGGACAGAGCTCAGAATGACAGATACAGCATTGAATATAAAGAAGGAACTTTTCCAGCATCTAAAACAATTCTGTATGTGAGCATCACAAACCTGACTAAGTCTGACTCGGGGCGGTACAGATGTTGGTTGGACAGAAAATGGTCACCAGATTCAACCGAGGACTTTGAGCTCAGAGTTGAAGATGGTGAGTTTCTACTGAGAGTCATGAAATGAAGTGTTCACTGACAGCTGCTGATGTTTCTAATAACCCAACATGTTTAGTCTAACAATTATATTTGGAGCTGCATATTTCCATCATTGTGAACACTGATAAATGCTCCTTTAAAAGCAACAGTTCATCTGTAAAATATCTGATCAACTCAAACTGTCACACAAATGGACACACTGCAGTTGATTTGAATATTGTTGCAGCAAACACATTGATGACCTCCTGCATTTAGCTGTATGATTAAAACTACATTGATACATTGACTGTTTGCAGAGAATTTGTGTTATTTCAATGAAATGTTACCACAGAGTTCTTTGTATCTGTACAATCAGTATCTGATTGTTTCATTGTGTTTTTCATGTTTCACAGCTCCAACCACTTCAAAACCAAAGTGGAAAACCACCACCAAAGCACCTTTTACACCATCAGTCCCATCAGCCTCCACACCGACACAGAGAGCTGCAGGTCCAGGTATGTATGCAAATATATGTGTATGCTTATCTCTATGGAAGTTATATTCATTGTTGATTAAAATTATTTTTGTCATATGGTATTGATTAAATGATTTCAATATTTTGACCATTGGTACCCTCAGGTCCCACATGCACCTGGAGAGCAGCTATGTACGCTCCCTAATATATTTTATAATGAAAGAGGAAGTGTAAAACAAACTTGTTCTATGAAACAAACAACTACAGGTCCGCCGCTGTATGTGCGTCTGACTCTGGTCGTCATGATAATCGTATTATCAGCGTCTGTGCTGATATTCTGCAGGAAGAGGGGCAGTGAACCCAAAGGTGAGACTATAGGAATGCAATGGAACAAAAACTCGTTGAAACCAACGTTCAAACGTGAAAACAATATTCTCAAAAATCACAAACTTTAGTATGTTTAACACATCATGTGTAATCTGAGTAATTTTAAGGTGGGGAAAATGGGGAAAATGTAATTTTCTGCTGTTATGATTTTAGGAGGACCCTGGATCAGGCTCTCTATCAGAAATTCATTTTTGTGTTGCTATGTTATGTACTGTTGTGTATAGTGTATGTTGACATATGCAAGTGGCAAAGATGAGTTTCCATTGTATGCAAAGTAATCTGAATCTGAGTAGAAAGGTTAGTGGCGTTATTATTTCACACCTATCACACTGACAACAAAAAACTAAACACTGACCAAAGGTATCATGTCTGTCAGCTCGTGTTGAAAAGCTCAGTAATCTAATGGCTGCCTCAGTATTCCAGAGGATCTTGAATGAAATGAAGCTATCGTCAGGACATCTCGAACTGCAGACAAGGTCAATTATTAGTCTTTATATTAGGGATTTTTAATCCATGGAAGATTTATGTTTGTAAAACTTTCCCACAGCCTATAAAAGCACATTTTGAAGTGCAATGGAAAGTGCCAAGACCTAGAACATAGAAGGTAGAAAACTTCCCTATCTCATGGGTTCGTTGAGCAATTTATACACTAAATACATAAGACAGGATGACTGAACTTTTAAAGTATTATTTTTTGGGCCTTTTATGCCTTTATTTGATAGAGAGAGATAGACAGGAAAGGGGGGCAGAGAGAGGGGATGACTGAACTTATAGAGTTCTCTAGATGTTGTAGGAACTCAAACAGGAATGTGCGAAAGAGACTTTTTAGTAGTGTTACCATCTCTTTTCGATTAAAAGTAGCTAAAACCTGCTCCAAAAGTCACTAATACTTTAACAACCTTAGCCTAAATGGTTTTCTGTGTTTTAACATTGGACTTAATCTTCTGTACTGCATGTTTTCAGAACCTCCTGTGGACACTAGTGTCACAGAGGTGAGTTTGAGTACATTTGGGATATTTCAGTGTCATTAGTGTTTGTGACAGCAGCTGATATTAATACAAACAGACCCCTGTTCTCTTCCTGCAGGCCAACAGAGTGTATGAGGAGATCAGAGAGGAGGACAGACAGAGCAGATCTCCTCCTGCAGAAATATCTACAGCTTACACTTACGCCAAATACTCCAAACCAAAATGTCATGACAACCGATTTGCCACTGGAGCAAGTTCTCAGAAGAACGTAAGTAAAAACTTTGGTCGGATTTTAGGTTTTAGAAAAAAAACATCCATTAACACAACTTGACAATGTTATAACTTGGATTTTTACATGTTTCATAAAAGCTGTTTCTCTTTCCCACATCCAATGACAGTGGATGTAAAATGCTTTTTAAGCTTTTTTATTGTTCAGTTTTTTGTTTGGATCTTTGTGAAAATGTTTTGTTGCACAACAGAGGGAATATTTTGGGTCAATAGAGAGAAAGCTGTCCTAAAAAATATGCTATATGTGTATGATAGATAATAACATTTCAAAGAAAAATGTTTCCCTTAATTTTTTGTTTAATGAGAACAATATCTATTTATTTTCAGTTTGTTCATCAAGAGAGAAAAGTAACCATAAAATAAAAGCTTCCAGTTGCTATCAAGACTAAAACAGTCAGTAAGTGATAACCTTTGACCTCTGATTGTTTTCTTCCAGACTGAAGACGACCCGAGTAAACTCACCTACTCTGAGGTGGATTTCTCCAACGGTGCAGCTGCCTCGCTCCACAGCGCCCCCCGTGGTGATGCAGATAGAGCCTTAATACATTGATTCATACTTTTACATCCATTTTCCAGTCGACACTCTCCTTCCGTTTAAATCATTCCCTGTCTCAATTTTGTCACATCTTATCTCAACCTTGCTTGATTTTGATCTGTCTCTGCCTTAGACGTTGTTGGTTTCTGTGGTTAAACATTATGTTCAGAGTCTGGTATGAAAACAGAGACTTTCAATCGGCAATCAACTTTTGTTGTTTGTTTTAGTTTTATAGTTAAATCATTGCATTTTGTTGTATTTAGACCGTCCCAGTCAGCAAAAAGATTCAGTGTCAATTTATCTGCCTCCTTCTGCACTGACAGCGACGCCAGTTAGCAGTCATAGAAAAAAGCTGCGAAACTGGTGAATAAAAGAAAAGTGAATGTCGAAATGCAGAGAACCCGCCCAGTCTGTAGATAAAAACAGTTCAATCAAATTTTTTTTACCATATCATGCAGCCCTATTAGACACTAATGAAGACCTGTGAATATTATATTCCATTTCTCTCAAGAGATCCTCATTCATTTTACACACTATAGCTTTAAATCTTTATATTTTATTAAATTCATTAATTGTCTCGTTTTCAGTTTCATTGTTTTTGCATGTTTATATGTAAATCACTTTGAGTTGCCTTTGTATATGACATGTGCTGAACTGCCTTTCCCTAATTCTCTTCTTTACTATTAAAACTAAAATCCTTTATACTGTAATCAACCTATGCAATAATAAATGTATGAAGGAATCATTTGAGAGTTGAGAGTTGAATTTTGGTACCACAGTGCTCTGTTTACTCAGAGGCACCACCTGGTAGTGATGCAGCAGTATTCACAAATATCTGGACTGAATCACGTCCTCTTGCCTGGACATCCCAGTTTGGTGTCATATTTAACACAGATTCATTCATAACATGTTAAAAAATGGAAAATAACACACAAAATGTAATGATGTGTTATGGCCACATTTAACAATAAGTGATAAGCTTAAGTTCAGTGATAAAAGACATTTGAGGAATGTCTGAAGATTTGTAAATTTATTGATTTCTAATGACACCTATAGATAATTCTATGCACCGATGTGCCTCAATAATGTAGTGTTGTGTCACAGTCCGTCAGTCATCACAGTCCTTTATTGTGAAGTTTAATTTTGTATGTGTTTCCTGTTTTATTTTGTACTTTTATACCTGTCCCTTTCATTTCAGAACCCTTCACTTCCTGCCCTTGTGTGTTTTTCCACCATCAGTAATAGTTTGCCCCGCCCTAAACACCTGCACCTGCCGGATTACCCCCACACCTGTTTAGTTTACAGTCACTGTGTTTCCTCCCTTCTGTGCCAGTTCGTCTTTGTCTTCTTAGTCAAGCGTTCCTGCAATCTCTCGTGTTTCAACAATAATTTCTGCTTCATATTTACACAGATCCACAGACACTGGGAGCTGCCCAGTTCAACCACAACCTGCAACTGCTGGTGAAATGGTGTTAATACAACAGTTATTACTTGTTCCTTATATGTGACAAAAGTTCTAAAGCCTTTTGTGCTACGTGATGAATTAATGTTATTTGAGTCGGTTTGTGCTGAAGACTACAAGTTAGAAAATGACAACAAAATCTGGAGGTGTGGCGTTGGAAAGCAGTACATTTACCAGACTTCTGGAGAACTGTTGCATTTTGGGTAATGCAGGCAAAAGGTTTTGACAAGGAAGTTCAGGACTCTTTGAGTACTGCTCTCAGAAAGAGGAACTCTGCCTTTTTGTGATCTTACCTCAAACCACAGGCATCCGCTGTTTAAAATAGTAGGAAGTCCTCAGGCTGCATGTTTCTGTCTCAGCAGAGTTGCTGAACAGTGATAAAGATGTTCTTTAAGTGGGAGATTTGATGTCTGAGGATACAATAGATGCAAATTAGCTGTTAGCTAACTGTGGTGCAATTACTTTAAATTGTGCACGGTCCCTGTAAAAATACTTTTTTATAGTGGCATCCAGCAGGTGCCGTTGTACTCTTGCAAAAAAACAATTCGTTTTTTTTTTTCAAACTCTCCTTCCAAACGCAAAGTAAGTAAGTAAAGCTTTATTTATATAGCACCTTTTTGACACAGAGATCCAAAGTGCTTTACAAACAACAAATATACATAAGGGTATAACCATACCCAATCAAACAAACATAGGGAGCATGTAAATACAGACAAAGGAAGATAAAACAAGAGGGAAAGAATAAAATAAAAGAGAGACGACAGATGAGGAAACAAACGAGGAGATCTATAGAAAGGCCTGTAGAGGAGCCGCTTAAAACCGTCCACAGATTCAGTGAATCTGAGTGAATGGGGAAGACTGTTCCACAATGTTGGGGCTTAAACAGCGAAGGCACGGTCACCTTTAGTGTTACAGGTAGAGCGGGGAACGGATAAAAGGCATTTGAGGAGCAAAGTGGCCGAGGAGTGGAATGAGGAACAAGGAGATCTGAAATGTAACTGGGGGCAAAGTCATGAAGTGCCTTACATGTAATCAGTAAGATCTTATAGTTGATTCTGAATTTTACAGGAAGCCAATGAAGGGATGCGAGAACAGGAGTAATGTGGGACCGACGACTGGTTCTGGTTAAAAGTCTGTAATCGTTTAATGAAGCCTGACTGAGGCCCGTGTAGACGGAGTTACAGTAATCTAGACGGGAGAAAATGAAGCTGTGAATTAATTGTTCAAGATCTCTGGAGGACAGGAAACTTTTGATTTTTACTATATTTCGTAGCAGCAGGAAACAGGACTGGACAAGTTTTGTAACATGGAGGAACTACGGTGGCCATGAACAGACTAAATAGAGCTAATGGCCCAATCGAGAGCCAGTTTGTTTGTTCGTTCTGAGCTACTGTAGAAACATGGCGGCCTCTGTGGATGGCTCATTCTCTATGTGTGTGTGTGTGTGTGTGTGTGTGTGTGTGTGTGTGTGTGTTAGTGTTTGTGTGTGTGTGTGTGTGTGTGTGGGTGTGTGTGTTGCTTGGAGGAGGGACTCCATCATTTAGGGAAGTGAGTTTGGTGCTGTGAAGACGAAAGAGAGGCAGCGATAAACCATCAGAGTCTCCGAGATGAAGGCCCGTCACACTTTGATCTGCTTCTTCCTCCTCTGTGAGTACACTCTCCTTCTCTTTCTATCATTCTCTCTCTTTCGCATATTTTCTTTATTTATATCGAGGTATTTGTAGTTACACTTTGCAGCCCAGTGAAAACAGTTTCTCATGAGTTTCAACACACTTCCTTTTACACTGCATTTCATATTGTTGGTTTCTGTGGTTTAGCATTAGTCACTTTAATATTCATTACCAGTCATTAAGTAGGTTTCCCAGAAATATCCCTCTTTTGGTTTTTACATGTGCCTGTTGTTCTGCTGTACCTGTTTTATATGTACCACAATGCATTGCAGGTGGTTTTTGTTGTATTCTGACTGTAACAGAGGAATATGTTCGGCTGCTTCAGTCTGATGAGTTTCGTAACACAGGAAACTACAGATTGTATCTACACTTCTTTAAAGTAAAGAAATAAAAAAAGAAAACCAGAAGTAGGGCTGTGAGATAGAGGGAGGGGAGCAATCGACATGCTCTCACTTCTTGTTTTCTCTTTATTTATTTAGATTTACTTTGGTTGATAGATACCACTCATTGGTTTTCTGTGCAGCTCAACAAACGTGTTCCTTCATCTCTATACTTCTGTTTAAATATTTGTTAGATTTTACCAGAACAGTTTGTGAATGTGTCTTGTTTTGCTGACTCACTGGTTCCTAAATTATTCAGTTTACTGTGTTAGAGCTGAAAACGTCTCCAGAAGAACAGCAGCAGTAAACTATTGTTCACAGTTTTGCTCATAAACTCATTTGTTTGATATATTTTGTGACAGGTGATGTTATGCATGTGTCTGTCTACCATCATAGGATAATAACAGGGAACATATTATATAAATTAGATTTCTGATGTGCAAACCTCATTTCACATGAAGCAAAGAAGCAATTAAATGATGAAAGTAACATTTTTATAAAAGAAATTAGAAGTTTAACCCCTTAACATCCATGTTTCCTCTTTTATTTCCACTAAAGTAGCTTTAAGGTTAGTCAGTCATCTAATTCTAAACTGTATGACAGTATCCGTATATACCATATATATTTTCTATATTTCCCAGTTTACCATTGAAGCTGTATAGTTTTACACTGTATGAAACATTAAACCTAAGACTTTATGACTGCATCATTCCATCCAATGAAAATGACATATTGTGTATTACTTTAGACATAATTACCTGATATATTCTAATTCTATTCTAAATTGAAAATAAGGTGCAGTGTGAACAATGTGTGGATGCACAACATGAGTTTGTAATAACTGACCACTGGTGGGTCAGTCAGTGAGACTTAAGAGGTTTC